GAGGAGGAGGAGGAGGAGGAGGAGGAGGAGGAGGAGGAGATTGGATTTATACCCCGCCCTTCACTTGGAGTCTCAGAGCGGCTTACAAACTCCTTTCCCTTCCCCTCCCCACAACAGACACCCTGCGAGGTGGGTGGGGCTGAGAGAACTCTGACACAAACTGCTCTTTTTCAAGGACAGCTGTGCCAGAGCTTGTGACTGACCCAAGGTCACATCAGCAGGTGCAAGTGGAGGAGTGGGGAATCAAACCCGGTTCTCCCAGATTAGAGTCCACGCACTTAACCACTACACCAAACTGTAAAATCTAAAGAAATGTCTCTAAAGTGTAAATTATAACTCTGCAAATCCTTCCAGCCAGGAAGCAGTTTATAGGATTGGATACTATATTCCCAGTATCGTTGCACATTTGATGTGAATATGTCTGCCCTACAAATTATTGTCAGATGCCACCTTTAATTCTGGTGCAGCTGTTGCACTCCCTGTCCTTGTTGCATCACAGAGATGCTAACCATACACTGTTTTGCCAAGGGCATGGTAGGAGCAGGATCTAGATTCTTTAGCTGGAAGCATATGGAACTTCCTGCAATTACAAGTGGATGCTGGAGCAAACATTCCCTAGCAATACACAGTTAGGCTGAAGGGGAATGTGACCTCATGAGGTAAATATTGGAAGACATCCAAATAATGTATGTGTACTGTGTGTGCAGGTGGCATATGTTGAGTTAGCTGATGAAAAGCTAGGGATAATTGTTTTGAGAGAAACAGGCTATGGCTGGAGAGCTATGCATGCCCCAAACAGCTTTTTCCAGAAACTTAAGAAACATGCAAAGCAGATGGAGCAAAGTAACTGGAAGTGACAAGAATTCCTTTTTCCGCCTCCACTTTTTAAGTGACAGTTCTTGGTGGGACATAAATTGTGAGGAGGAGGTGTCCCCATAACAACACTAAAAGAAAACTCAGGAAAACAACAATAAACATTTGGTCAGTTGAGCGATCCAGTGCAGGATGCTCCTAACATTCAGTGGGACAATTGGGGGGAGGAGTGTGCTGACCAGAGAATGAGGGTGATCGAGGAGTTGCCACAAGGAGGGGGAAATATTGGTGGTACAGTTATTATAAGAAATCATTTCCATTTTGTTCAGAAACTTCGCTCCATTTTGTTCAGAAAGGATGGCTCCATTTTGTTCAGAAACTTCGGCCACCTCTGGCATGGTGGGTTGTTGGTTTTTAATATCAATCCAGATACAGGACAAAATCCTAAACAAACCTTATCTTCTCTTTAAATGTTTTATTATTGGTCAAGCAGATATATCATAGTAGATGAATACTGGAAACATAACACAATGCCCTGCACTCACAATATGTGTAGTGGCAGATGGTAATTAAATCAGGTTTTTCTGTAGACACCAATTTATGGTACTGCTAACTAATAAAACTACTGAGATTCCAGAAACATGGCATGCCGTTTTTTCGACTTTTATTTTGAAAGATGGTATATTTTAACACCTTTCTACATTTCATGAATATGATTTGAGATATATCATAGCTAGTATCTTCAAATGTAGCACAGATTGATTATCATAATGAAGAGTTTTGGAAATATAGTCTTCCCCCATCATTCACCTGAATAGCTTCCGAGCCGTGGAGCATTATTGTCAGCGCCATCATAAAAATCCAAAGAGTCCCAGTTATGCTCTGTTGCAAAACTTATAACTTGTACCTGTGATGAAGAGAAAATGAAAAGAGAATAGGGAATTTAGAAAGGACTCTACATTAGGGGGGTTGTTGGGACTGAGCATATTTAAATAAGAACCAGACTGCACACAGGCCAATGGGTTGGACCCAGCAACCCTTTTCACTCAATCCCACCTTATTCTCTTTGTCCCACATGGCTTTTGTCCACACAGGTCCCATCATCCCAAACCAGCATGGTCTTTTTGGTGGTCAAAGGGAGCCTTTTTCTTCCTCTTTCACCAGTGCAATGCTGATTGGATCCAACCTATTATCAATATGTATCAAACTGTAAAAACTGCAAATGGATGTTCTTTATTTTGTAAGCTAAGGGCGTGAATCGGGAAAATGGAAGTTCATCCCAGTTCATGGGGTCTCACGAACCAGGAACCTTCCCAAACCTTCCCATTTACCAAACTGATTCATTTTGTGAGATTCGTGATGAGATAGAATGGTGCCCCTGTGGGCTAGGGATGCTAAACTTGCAGCAAGTCTCCAGCTGACTCTCTTCTACCTGCCCTTCAAGTTTGGTGAGGGTTGGATTTAGGGGCCCCAAGTTACACCCCCCCCAAAATCAGGTTGCCCCCAGGAAAGTGCTCTTTGGGGAAATCATAGCCACAGGTTCAGGAGTGTGTTGAACAGACCCCCTGCAAGCTAGAGGCATCTAACTCACAGACCTCCCCAGGATGCCTCTCTACCTGCTCTCCAAGTTTGTTGAGGATTGGCTGGGGGGGGGAGTACTGACTGCCTCCTCATAATAGACATTGTTGCTGCAGATGGGCAATCCTTTTCCTTGGGCCCAGGAGGTGGTTATCTGTCTGCCTCCCCCTGGTGACAGGGTTTTGGGGGGTGGCCTGCCACACTCCCCCTTGGAGCTGAGAGGTGGTAACCTGCCCAACTCCTCATGGTGGAAATGGATTCTGGAGGTGGTCAACCCTTCTCTTTAGACTCAGGAGATGGTCATATGCACACCTCCCCCTGGTGATGGGGTTTTGGGGGGGATGACCACCAAACTTCCCCTCAGGCCTGGAAGGCAATGTGCCTCATTGTGGAGATGGATTCTAGGGGTGGTCAAGACTTCCCCTCAGGCTTAGAAGGCAGTCACCTGCCCACATTCCCTGGTGACAGGGTTTTTGGGGGGGTGGCCTGCCACACTCCCCCTCAGGCCTGGGAGGCAGTCTGCCTTGTTGTGGAGATGGATTCTGGTGGTGTTCAAGCCTTCCCCTCGGGCGCAGGAGGTGGTCACACACCTGCCTCCCCCTGGGGACAAGGTTTTGTGGAGTGGCCCACCACACTCCCCTTCGGGCCTGGGAGGTGGTCTGCATCTTTGTGGAGATGGATTCTAAGAGAGACTAACCCTTCCTCTCAGGCCCAGGAGGTGGTCACCTACCCACCTCCTCATTTTAGACATTGTTGCTGTAGATGGGGAAACCTTGGGTCAGTGAAACAAGCTTGCTTGAATGGGTGGATATTTGATGAGGTAGAGGTTTTCATAGGTGGATGTCGGTCCACAAGGTAGGTGTTGTACTATGAGGTAGATATTGGTTCATGGGGTGGGTATTGTGCTATGAGGTAGATCTTGGTTCATGAGGTGGCTGTTGCTCTATGAGGTAAATATTGGTCCATTAGGTGTGAAGTAGGTGTTTTGTAATGAAGTGGATGTTGTTTGGGTTGTGTGTTGATCCTTTCCACCCCATCCCCCAGCAGAGGCAGGTATGTGAACCCAAATACTGAAGAGATGGTATGCTTATCTACAGCCACAATGTCCTCAATGAGGGAGGCAAGCTGTAGATGTGTGGATGTGGACAGGGGAGGCTGGAAGTGACAGTTCTTGGTGGGACATAAATTGTGAGGAGGAGGTGTTCAAAAATCCCAATGAGGGGGAGTGTGGCAGAGCAGCCCTCAAGTGTGAAGGAAGAAAGGCCTTTTAATGTGGAAACACAGTCCTGGGTGAGAGTGGCCACAGCCAGAATCTGGGAAGGGCTGGGGGAGGCAGGAAGCAATGATTCTTGGTGGGACACAAGTCATGAATGAGCGATTTGGCTACTGCATAAATTAGTTTGCTCTGGAGCCATCCTTTCTGAGCTAAGACAAAAATCTGTGAGCTGGAGGCTAAAAAAACTGTGAGCTATCTCACACTGACTCGGCTTAGAGGGAACGCTGCTGGGGGGAAGTGCGGATCCTCAGCCGAGGACCCCACTGGCGAAGCCCCTCTGCTTGGCTTTAGCAGAGGGACCGGCTGGTTTTCGCAGAGCCCTGAGCCAGACACCGACCCAGCCAGGGACAGGTGTTCAGAAATCCTCAGTAGATGAACCCACTGGCTAAGCTCCTCTGCTTGGCTTTAGCAGAGGGACAGGTGCCTCAGAGCCCTGAGACCACCAGATACTGCCCAGCTGGGGACAGATGTTAAAAAATTCCACTGACGGGGAGTGTGTGGCTGAGCCCCTCTGCTTGGCTTTAGCAGAAGGACAGGTGCCTCAGAGAACCCTAAGTAAGCACCAAAACCCCAAATCCCATTGTTCACAGTACTGAGGAATGACTTCCAGCTTCCCTCCCTCTCTCCCTCTAACTCCGTCTCTGCCTAACTGCCTGCTGTCAACTAAAAACAGCTGCATGTGAGCTGGGGTATATATCCAGTCTGCTCCCATCAAGTGGAATGGGACCTCTCTTGTTGGCAGCCAGCACTGCCTGTCCAGCTTTGGAGGGCAACTATTCGTGTTTCCAGGGCTGAAGGGCTGCAGAAGCCCATCTCCCCGTTGCTTTGACAATTCATTGATCGGTGCCGACGTGTCTGCCTCACGAACTGCCAACACAAACCACATGAACCTCCATGAAAAACATGGTGATTCATGGGAGCCACGACTGCATGAACTGAGGCTCATGAACCAGGCAATTTTTGTGACAAAATTAAGTTTGTGCCCATCCCTAATGCTAAGTCATGTAGAAGAGGTAAAAAAGATGTGGTTTTCATTAGTGAAATGTCTATAATAATACTGCATATGCACAAGATGTATATACAATATTATTACAGATAATTTTTTTAACAATATGTAAAACTCTGTGTTGGTGCTAACGATGAAATGAAGCCTCACACAAATTCCATAACCTGCAATCTGTCCCCATTTGCAAATATTACATTAATAAATCTGTCTTCCGAGAGTGTGTGTGTGTGTGTGTGTGTGTGTGTGTGTGTGTGTGTGTATATATATATATTTTACAGGGGGTGGGTTTTACTTTCTTCAGATGGTAAAAAAATAGAGAGTGCCCTAACAAATATCACTACCAGCCAAAGTTAGCGCTATTTTTTAGGAGGGTTATCTCTGTAACTTAATGCTCACTTGGGAAAGTGGATGGAGCTCAGCTAAGTATGTGTCTTCCTGTAAGAGAATGGAAATTGATATTCAGTGCCAGGTGCCTCAGTGGGGAAACTGTAATTGGTGTATGTATGCATGTATGTATTAGGGCTGCCAAGTGGAGGCGGGTGGCGGGTAAACCCCCGCTTTGGAGGCCCGATTTCCGCCACCGCGGAATCGGGCCCTGGTGGGAACCTTGCCCCCGTTTTTCCCTCCGACGATGGGGGCCACGCCCCCAACATGCTCAACGTCACACGTCACTTCCTGGATGTGCTGGCGGTGCGTGTGCGCTTTGCGCGCGCATCAGAGAAGAGCTCCCAGGTTGCCGCAACGCTCCCTCGATGGTAGGCTTTTTACACTTGTCAACCCTAGTATGTATGTATGTATGTATGTATGTATGTATGTATGTATGTGTCTGTCTGCGCCTATCTATTTATCTATCTCATTCTTTTTCTAAAAAATACTGTTAACTTCCCTGAGATCTATAGAGAGATGTTGAGAATATCTCTGCAAAGTGTGAGAGATTGAGCAACATGGAACTCTCCCTGTTTGGCAATTTATACAGCCAAAGCATGCTTTGCTGTTTCTGAATTTCATGAGTGTGAATAGAGTAGGAATGCTGCATTGACTGTCTTCTAGATTATTCTTTGAAACAGCTATAGAGGATAGTATTTTATATCACAATTGTTATATTACATGTTTTTTGAACATTATTTCCCTGCTTCCTGGTCATGGAGCAACGAGCTTGAGAGGATAGCCCCGACTAGAGCCCTGGTTATATTACATGTTTTTTGAACATTATTTCCCTGCTTCCTGGTCATTGATAAACCCTCCAAGCAGGAGGTTCAAAGGTTAATTACAGGGACATTATTTATAAATAGAATAACAACCTCATGCTCTATAAACCAGACACTGGCTAATGGGAGCATTAAACAAAATTATTAGGGAGCAGACTCATGGTTTTTGTGCTACATCATTTCTTCCGTCTTCCTCTAAAGCAGCTGGTATCAGCCACTGTTGCAGATCTGTAACTGGGATGAATGCAGATTTGCACTGATCCAGTAAGACAATTACTGTGTTCACAGACCAAGGGTGAACAGATTGCTTTCTGAACTACCAGCTGGTTGATAACAGGCTTAAGAAAATTGTACGTACCACTTTTATCCACAGTATTGGTTCTATCATTAAAGGGATTTTTTTTTCCCCTTTTACAAAGGTAATCTTGCACATTTGTATATATTTGCCTGTGTGCATAATGGGAAAATAGTCTCTTGTTTATGCTCTAACTGTTTTTATACTGGCTATAAAGCTCTATAATCCATATAGTTTTTGATAGTCTGAGCTCTAGTTTAGGAACGAAAATTTCCAATGAATCAGACATTTCATATTGTTAACAAACTGCAAACATCTAGCTTTCTGATGATATATACATGTGCGGTAGGGTTGCCAACTCCGAGGTGGGGCCCTGAAGAGCTCCCATAATTACAACTGATCTCCAGAGTACAGAGATTAGTTCCCCTGGAGAAATGGCTACTTTGGAGGGTGGACTCTATGGCACTATACCCTGCTAAGCTTCCTTCCCTCTCCAAACCTCCCTCTCCTCAGGCTCTACCCCCAAATCTCTAGGAATTTCCCAACCTGGAGTTCGGACCCCTAGTGTGGGGTGTGGAAGAGGACTGTCAGCCTTTACGACAATTTACAGTGCAATTCTAAATAGAGTTATATTCTTCTGAGCCTCAGCTTAGAAAGCTATAACTCTGCAGTTACATGGGGATCCCACTTTGCCAAAGTTACCATACAGAAGGGAAATTGGTTATCCAAATATTAAATAAACTAATTTTTACTGAAATCATTGGCTCATTTAGCCTAGTATCATCTGTTCTGACTGTTACCCCAAGAGAACCTGATGTTTGCAAGACAACAAACTGACAAACAAGACCAATCAGGAATATGCCTTGCAGTTGCCCAGTAATCTGATCAAAAGCATAAACAGGCAGGATTGTATCATCTGCTGTATCCAAGGCTGGATATTAATTACCCCAGTTGCCCCTCAAGAGCAACAACCTGTCCAAATTCATCAACTTCTAGTCATCTGGGCCACCACGTGAGAGATCCTTGCCAATGACTGTAAGCATAATGATACCCTGAACGGGTTGCAACATTCCAACAGCCAGGCTGAAAAAGCATTCTCTAAGCCACACCATTTTAGTTCGTTCTCATCCTTGGATCTTACTCCACACTGACAAAAGACCAGAAGATCCTTTCTTTAAGACAGACAGAATATAACCTAACTTTGTCGTTTCTTCTCCAAATTCTTCCTCAATAACCTATCACCCCCCTCCCACTTCTTAGCTCCAATATCCTGTCCTACTTTCAGATGGCTGGCCCTACAGTTCACTGGCTTCCCAGTTCTTCACTGGGCTCCTTCCCTGCCACTTCAAACTTCCTTTCCCACCTTTCCTTCTCATGTTCTCACCCCTCAGGGACAACTGTACAGCTTTTTCTGCTCTTCATTAATCTTTGATTAGCCACGTGGGGGAAATTTGAATCAGACACTATTTATTTATTTATTTATTTATCAATCAATCAATCAATCAATCAATCACTAAGATTATAAAAGTAAAATATCTTTATTGGTAAGCCTCAAGTAAATTGCTACTGTATTTTATCACTGACATGCCTAGAACTACTGTTCTATTTGCTGCATACGACTGATTTACTTGAAAGCTATCATTTTAGTTATCTTTGCCACACGTTCATTCAGGTACCAAGTCACCAAGACTCGGGCAAAGCTCCATCCTAAGTCATACTGCTTGATGATATTCAAAAAGCAACAGTTTATTTATGTATTTATTTCATTAGATTTTTTTTACCCCACCCTCCTAGCAAGGCTGGCTCAGGGCGGCTTACAGCACATTATAAAACAATACAATATAATAATTCAATATACCATATAAAATCCAATCATACAAAAGTTTAAAACCACAACTATGGATCAACATTGTCAGAAATGCACTAAAGCCCAAGGCGTGGCAGATTGTGATCCTAAGCCCTGTGAGTGGAGTTCCTCTCACAGAATTCAGTGTTTCAGTCTCCCCACTCCTTCTGCAGTCCTCTGTGCCACTGAAAAAAATTCCCAAAATCCTCCTTGAAGACACAAGACAACTATACTTGGGTTTAATCAGTGTATTTAAATGACAGGCCTACATCATAAACTATTAGTATATTTAAGGGTGGGATGCACTAGGGAGACCAGTGGCTACTGTTACTTCAGCAACTCTACCTGGCTCCAAACAGCCAGAAATTTCTGCTGGCTTCGTTTACCCTTGCCTGCAACATGAACTGTGTCGAGACCTGCCAAGCCTCATCCCACTCTGTCAATAGTCCATACAGACAACTAAGGGTTTTAGCTGATGCTACTCAACACCAAACAGGTGCAAAGTGACCAACAATTCATGTTTAGCCCCAAAGTGACTGGTTAGTCCCATGTTTCCCTTTCAACAGCATATAGCAAATGTCTGCATAGGAAAGATAAAAAGCCTTTATGGGTGCGGTCACACTGTCCCTTTGATCGGGATTCGCCGCTGTTTCCTCCCGCATTTAAAGTTTCTGTTTACACGCGCCAATCTGCCTCCCGCATCAAAGCAGGCTCACTCGCGCAATTTCGCGCAATACTCGCGGGTTTTCCTGACCCCGGGAAAATCAAGTACTTTCCTGGATCTTGCGCTTTGAACGCGCGATTTCACCTATGTGAACAGCCCTCTTTCGCAATGATTTCGCAATGATTGCGAATAGGGCCGTCTGACCACTCTCTGAAGATTTTTTTTAAAGCTTCCGGTCTGAGCGCATGGGCAGGCATTCGCTTAAGAAGTCAATTTTTTTAAAAAAAATTAATGTCAGTGCTTACAGCATCCCGGTGGAGGCAGGAACGAGAGGTGGGGGCTCCGGCAGCCTGGATGGGGGTGGCAAGCAGGTGGCGGAGACAGCGCCCGAGCAGCACGAGTGGCTCGCGCCATGCACCTTCCTGCTGGGCCTTGACCTCCTGGCCGCCCAGAAGCGCCGGGAGAAGGCACGCCAGGCTGGTGGCGACTGGGCCGATGGCAAGGACAGCCCCGCGGCCGCCCAGGAGCAGCTGCTGCCATCGCCGGATGGGGATGAGAGCGAGGGGGACAGCAAGCAGCCGGTAAGAGGGATAGCTCTTGAGGGGTTGTGTAGCCATGCAAAACCGGAACAAAATATTCCCATTTAAATTAAAGCGGGAACAAGGCGCATTTACAGTGCCGTGTGACCAGGGCCTATATGTCTTCCAACAACCAAGTCCATTGGTGGGGCTATTAACAGCCACAGCCAGTCCTGTCTTGTGCTTCATTCAAAGTAGAACAGATTAGCCCAACAACATCCCTGAATAAAGTTCTGAACATCAGCAAACTCTTGAGAATGGGGTGGCATGCAGCAGTGAGGGCTGACGCAGGAGGGGGAATTTGTGCAATTTACCCTCACCTCACGCACACCCTGTGCAGAGGATGTTGGATCCAATCCACTCTCTTGGATATATAAAAAAAATTAATTTAACTTTTACATAATTTAGTTTGTAGAATATTGCTAGTTTCTATGAGTTGTAACACATTAAATTGACATATTCTAAGAGATAACAGGAATACATCTGAACAGAAACATCTCTGACAGTGAATTGTCGGGGGGGGGGGAGATTTTTACACTAGAAAATATCATTGCAATGAACTGTGTAATTAGTCCTATTGTGACAGCTGTTAATTGCTTACAACTTTTTCTCAAGTATTCAATGATCTTTTGATGCTCGCAGCTTTTTAGATGCGACCCTTAGGTGATACAGGAAGAAAACTATGCAGGTTCTTACTTGGATTCCAGCTCCTTCTGGCACTGTGATCTTCCATACACAATTCAGGTTGTTATCATATGGCTCAGGGTAACCAGGGGACAAAATGGTACCTTTGCGCTTAGTTAAAATTCCTCCACAGGGCACTAGAAACAAATGCATAAAACATGGAAAGAGGTTTCCTGATGCATAATGAATCAGAGCAGGGATAAGCTGTAACATTATACAATATATCTGAAACCTATTACAATTCCATCCTATAGTTCAAGATGATTCAGGGGGGGGGGGGACCCAGCAGGACACCTCAGTTCCTCTTCCTGAAAAGTGGGAAATGAATTAAAAGCTATTTAAACAAAGACTTTCGCTCAAAGTGCTAAAAATATGAAATAATTTAAATATATTAATAATATTCACTTTAAAAGACATTTAGTCGATTCAAAATTTAAAATCTTCTATAGGTACAAATATAGCACTCCATTAATGCTAATGAAGCCCCTTACTTTGTCTGACACTTGATTATTTGCAGAAGGGCCAAATTTGGCATCTACCTTCCATAAGTACCTTTCCTTCCTCTCCAAAAACAAAACAAAACACCCACTTACCACAATCCAGCCACCAAGGTTCCATAGACCATGAAATCATTATGCATACCAAGATGAAGAAATTGGGAAATACCAAACAAGCTACGTTTCAAAATTATCCCAAAGCCTCCTCATATAATTTGTTTTGAGTTAGTCCAGATTCCTGGGTCAGATACTTGTACCTCAGCAAACACAAATGTGCCCGGCAGATCAGCTGTTCATTAGGTTCACTGAACTACCTGGAAAGTGCTCTGGAACACCAAGAAGGTTGTCTGTGTTGGAAGAGGCTGGCTCAGAACCTGGACCTAGAAACTTGGAGGGTGGGGCTTGTCCTTCCCCAAGCTACTTCCTATCTGGCACCCCACCAAAACCCCTGAAAGAGCTTTTAATTTTCTGTGGAAGGGAGAGAGACGGAATCAATCAAACCTGTACTGATCCATTAAAAAAGTTAATGGTGAAGGAGAAAAGAACAGAAGATCGAATACAGTTTTGCTGAAATTCCTTTTTGTTTGCATATATGAACCATGATGAGGAAAACAGTCAGAAAGAAGATGGAGAGCTTTTGAAGTCTCCCCCTAAAGAATCACTTCAACACTTGCTTCCCCAACCCCCTACCCCAACTGTATGAATATTTGTGTTTTAACTTGAAATTACTCTAAACTCAAGAAATGGTCTTGTAATGAACATACTCTTACCAACATATACCTACAAAGTAGTACTGGTATCTGTTAGCTTTAAAATGTAAGCCCCTCAAGTCTGGATATAATAGATTTACTTGAGCAATTCAACTATAAAAAAAAATATCCAAGGAAGCCACAAATTAATAAAATTCTCCAAAAATGATACCAAATCAGATTCCAGTTATGGAAGAAGTCCTATATGGTGGGTCTGGTAAAAATTTGATTTTAGTTGTTTTGCATTGAACCTAGTAGTGATATAAGTTTGTGGATGGGTAAGCATGAGTTTAAAAAGTGGTGGGACGCGAATCTGGGTCACAATGATCCTTAGAAATGTATGGAGCATCCAGGGCTTAAAAATGTAGTCCATTCTTTTTGGTCCCATCAAAGCTGCATATAAGCATTCCAAGCTTTTCTGAAGTCAAAGGAGTTCTTGTCACTGGCATTAATGACGCCAGTTATCATCTTTAGGGACTCCTCAAATTAAAAGAGGCCCCATTTGTATCAAGCACAAAATAAACACAACAGCAATGACAGATATAAATAGAAAGAATTCGGAAGGGTACTGCATTGACTCTTGAGGCTAAACATGAATGATACTTTTGGTCAAGATACTAGACGGCCTAATATAATCACATTAGACTGCCATCTAAATACAGATATTCTGTGGGTATTTTAATGGCTTGAAGAAATGATTGATGAGAAGTTTTATCAGTACCATTAGCAGCCAATACATCATTCCCTGTGAAAACATTATCAACTCCTTGAGCTCATTTCATTAGATATAAATATGAGGACTTGGAGGATACGCAGAACGAAACTTATCTGAGTAATGAATACAGAGGCTACATTTTGTAGTGCATATAACTGATAGAATCTGTCAGGGACTACATGAATAAACTAAAGGTCAGTGTCACTTAAACAGTTTGAATAATTACTGGTAAAAGCAGGAGGAGACACAATGACTGATGGCTGATATCGGTAAGGAAACACCAAGGCATTCGCTACACTGCTATGGCAATTTAAAATTGCCGTGTCTAGCATTTCAATTATTAAACTGATTTTGTTCAATACAATTTTCCAGCCCATGCATATTTATGAGCTTTATTAAAAGAGTGATATGCACTGATGAGAAGTGACTAACGTTTTTGGTTTGTAAATCTCTCTTAGGTCAGATGATCTCGAATCAGATTTTTCTCTTCCCTTTTCATATTTATAAATGGCACACTGATATGTTAGTAAAAAAACCAGCCAGTGTCAAACTGCACATGACCTGTGAGATCCAGGACAGGCTACTCAGATGCACTTCAGAAGCACAAGTAACCAGAAGGGACCTGACATAGACCAGGCCAGCGGCACTGGAGATGGTGGTTAACTCTGTCCCTCCATGTCATTCCTCTGATTCAAAAAGCTCCCCCTCCCACTGCCAGCTGGTTTAAGACCCAGCTGGGAAAAGATGAGTGCTCATATGATGCCCACCAACACCAGGGTTTAAAGCAGGGTTCAGCTTCCACCACTGTGACCTGGGAAGGAGGGAGGCAGTGATGAGTACTCATCCATCTGAGAATATAATCTGAGTTGGGGAAGAATTTTTTGGATTGTAATCTTTGCCTTGACTGAAATGCAAACTGTGAGTCACCAAAACTTGTAAAATAACAGTGCGATCCTAAGTAGGGTCAGAGGTCATTTTGGGGGGGATTGTGGGGGAACACAGTTCCCCTGGGTGAGGTGCAGGGGGGCGGGGCACATGACGAAGCCCCGCCCCCTGCTTCCGGCCGCCCCGCTTCCAGCCCTCATGCAGCCAGGAGGAGGCAGGAGAAGAGGGAGGGTAAGTTGCTTCCTCCCCACCCCTGCCTGCCTGGGGCCAGGGAGGGCCTTGGCGGGGCTTCCTCGCACTCCCGCTGGCCTTGCAGGTCCACCGCTGGGCCCCTGATGTCAGGGGGTGTGGCATATGCTAATGAGTTCCCCTAGCTCTTTTTCTACGAAATGACCCCTGAGTAGGGTTATACCCTTCTAAATCAATTGAAGTCAATGGACTTAGTAAGATGTAACTCTCCTTAGGACAGTACTGTGAACTTCAGCTGTAATTAAAACTGCTTTTCTCTTCTCGGCTCAGCAGAGTTGCAGGGATGAGCACAATCACAGAGCTGTACAGTCTCTCAGCTCCAAACATGGCTGGGATTTGCAGAAGCTGAGAAGGTCACATCTCTCTGTCCCTGTTCCATGCCTTGCAATGAATACAGATTTGCAGGGAACCAAGCCCCCACCCTGATTTACAGATCCCTGAAGGCTGGCGGTGATTGGACAAAGGGGTCAGGCCCCTGAACAAGGTGTCTTCAGCAATCCTGATCTCCACTGTTTCTTATGGGGGAATAGGGGGTTTTTCTGGGTGTCTGGAGTGGCATTCATAGAGCAAATAGCACCAAGACTGCAGCGTGCCAAGTCCTCCCTCTCTCCTATAGACCCCCATTTTTAAAAAGGAGATTAGATAAAGGGGAGGGGTGGAACCTAGGAAGAATGGGGTTTGGGGAGGGGAAGCACCTCAGTGGGGCATAATGCCATGAAGTTCACATTCCAAAGTAGCTATTTTCTCTAAGGAAACCCACCGCTGTCATCTGGAGATCAGTTGTAATTCCAGATCTCCAGCCACCACCTGGAGAGCTGGCAACCCTAGAATTGCTCTCTGGAGTCTGGTCATCAGTTGCAATTGTGGGAAAACCATGTCTCACTGGTAGGTTGGCAGTCCTACCCTCCCAAATAAAGACTACCCCCCGACAGAACAGAGATACCCCCGGAGAATAGCAAACATGGTCAGAATAGGGTTCCCTGACCAATTCCCAGAGCCTTGGAGAAATTTGAGAGATGCTCTGCCTGTTGCAGCTGTGCTAAGATGCCATGTAAATCTCTTCAGGACTGGTTTCATGTTCCTACTTTCGTGGTTGTGTTTCTGGTTATTTTTTTTTTACAGTTGTTAGCAAGGTTTTTTATTTTTTTATCTATTTTTGCATTTTAATGCTAGCAGTTTGGAGTTGTGGGAGGATTTTTATTTTCCTGATCAGGATATTATTTTCTTATAACTGGGTTATTTAGTGCATTTATCTGGTGTGTCCCCCAATTCTTCCTCGTTTAATTGTATTTAGTTTTTTGCTGTCACTTTGTTTTTTTGGTTTGGATTTTTTCGTAACAGCTTGTTGCTTTTATAGGTTCTGTTCTATGAGAAAATGATTTGGTTTTTTGGGGGGTGTGTGTGTCTCTGTATTGTTTCTGCCGGTTGTTGTTTGCTGGTAGAGTTTTGGAGGTGCTCTTGTGGGCGGAATGGAAACCTGTTCTGATAGATTAGATTAAAGGTTTTAAGCATGGCATTCTACTCCTTAAAAACAATGAAATGAAGATGACTGGGGACACTTTGTTCATGCATCATTAAATTGGACCCCTTTGTCCAATCCCCTTCATACTGGGGGGGGGATGTCTTTGGGGAGATGATAGACATTTTCCCCTGCAAATGTTGTGTCATTGTCTCTAAAAATAACAACAACAAACTGTTCTAGACCCCTGTAAAGATCCCCTATTCCACCCCATTTTATTTATTTATTTGTAATTTTGGGAAGTTCCATAATTCCACTTTTTAATCTATAAAACTATACAGAAAAGCCAAAAAGGCATTTAGGGGTGTATTTTTGCCTTATGGATTTCAGTATGCACATCCGTATTTCACTCTCTACTTTGTTTACGGTATGTCATGCATTAGCAAGGTTTCTATTTGCAGTGTTTTCTAATCCAGTAACCCTAGTCCTGCTGCATTGCTCCTGGATTGGCTGATTGTTTGTTTGCTTTTTCAATTTGTCTTGAGTCTCAGTGAGAAAAGTGGGTGATAAATGAAATAACTAAATCGATACATAAATTCTTAGATGCAATCTAGAGAAATTTGTGCTGAAAGATTAATTAGGCAGGCACACACGTATGAAAAAAGTTATATTTGGTGAGGATACCAACTGGCATGGTACTATCAGTGCAATCCTAAGAACTGTTTCCTTGGGATAAGACCTTCATAGGATTCTGAATAGATCACCTTAGGGTTGCTCTCTCCAGCTGTTGAAGAATATATTAAAAAAAAAACAATGACAACATATAACCTAACACAGTGATTGTGAAATATGAAAAGATCAGACTTTGCCATCGTTACAGGGTCAGCACTCTCTTGCAATGCTCATATAACCAAATTTTAATCTTGGACTCAATCCAAGCACTTTAAATTGGTTCTGGAAGTGCCTAGATTGCTTCTCTAAGGCTTGAGGTGTGCACTTTGGGCTCTCGGAAGTGATGCAGGCAGAGGATAATATTGCAAACAAACAATTTTATGACAGTGAGTTGGTAAGATATTACTGCCATCTACATCACAGAACAGTACAGCAGTGGTGTGAGACTTGATACTATATTTCATTAATATTATATTTCATGCCTGTGGGTGCCCACCAATACCTTTCCTGGCAGCCACCAAATATTTTTAGAAAGTGGGTTGGGCCAAATTTGGCTTTTGCCTAGGAAAGTTTCTGATTGTCTATGCAGATTTTTAAAACATTGCTTTGGAAGCAGCTGCCATCACTGCACAAAGACATTCACTGCAGGTCTGAAGGTAAGCTGCAGCAGCCATTTTATGGCTGGTTCTACCTCCTGGGGCCACTATCTTGTAGTAGCCATTTTGTGTCAGAATTCCAAAGATCCTTGCTGGCTCCAAAAGGTCAGGGACCCCTGCATCAAATAACTAGACCTCTACCAAAAAAAAAAGCTTTAACTACTTACCAACACATGTAGGAAGAGAATCATTCCACTGTGCCAGGGCATTAGGCACAGTGTCACATCTAATTGCTATTGATCCATAGAGTATATAGCCTGGATTACATTCAAAAAGAACCAATGAACCAACTGCAAATTCATTTCCAATCCTTTTCCCAAATCTTGGTTCAGGCACTGAACTGCATTGTGTTGCACTTGTCCTTGGAACCGCTGGAAAAATACACAGAAGAAATTGTGGCAATTCAGTGTACTGATCTGTAGCAAAACATCAGCTAGTTTGTTGGACACAAATATTTAAACTCAGTTTGTTACAAAATAGATGTTCATAATATTGACATAGCTTCTGAATTCCTAAAACTGGATTCTACATCAAGGGTCAAACTTCTAAAATGTAAATAAAACTAAAATTCCAGTTAGCCTCAGTAAAGCTATCACTCCAAGCTCTGTGCAAATTACACTGGAATTGTAATACTTTATTCAAATAACATGCTGAGTTCAAGTCATATTGCTGTGACGGGTTGATATTTAAATTTATTGGCTCTTGTTTATGAATGTATGTTCCACTTATATTGGTATTCAAATCTTATCAAAGACTAAATCACAGTAGCAACTGTTGACATGCATTTGTTTAAATGTGTGATCCTTCACAAAAGGAGAGTAATGCAAATCAAGTGAAATATCTTAATAATTAATAGCAACATTACATATTCAGATCAATTGTGGTACAACTGCCAGAATACTCACTCTGATACAGAAAGATGTATTTTCAGCAGCATGCTAGACTGAACATTAATAGAGCAGATTCTCTTTTGAGTACCCCCTCCCCTCCAAGTTTGGAAATAATTCTTAGGTTTTCTAAAGACATGATTTTAGATTTATTAATACTTATGCCTTTCTTCTTCAAAATGAAAACAACAAGCAGAAGGATGCAAAATATACAGACAGATGGAAATATGACACATTAATAGCCAGCTGGTATTTTCCCTATCCATATGTGGCACTTTTAATCTCAGCACTGTTAAATATAGTTTTGAAGTTGGGTGTTTTTTTTTTTGTCAAAGAAACATCATAATATATGAATGGAGAATGAGAGGTGAACGATTTTAGCACACAGAATTAACTGAAGCATCTTTGAGGCCCTTGTGTCTCATACCTTGATATACAAAGTGAAATCCTTTAGCTGTTACAGGTCCGACTGAAGTAAATCGAATGGTAATCTGGTTACCTGAACTCAAGGGAAGGGATTCTCCTACTCAAGAAAACAAACATTGCATCTCAGAAACAATTTTCTGCTAATAATTCTAAAATAATATTGTTCTCATTCTATTTGAACAAAGTAGGCTAAAAAAAAAAAAAAAGCCTTATGCCACAGTAAATAAATTAGTCTTTCTGGTGACCAAACAACTGTATTGTTTTTGCTACACATACTAACTAAACTTCTCCTCTGGAAGGTAATGCTGCTTGTGTAGTTAGAGAGCAAATCTATATGCTGGCAAAATTAATGTATTGCTGTATTAGGGGTTTTAAAAGAAACACTTTAAAAATCAGTATATGCCTGAAGGCTTCAAAGGTTTCTGGAAAGAGAAGCTATGGGTGCAACAAGATAAACTACGAGCAATTTGTGTTTAAATCTCACTGTCGCACCAGCTTCTATTTTATTTAAAAAGAGTCATGCAGTGTCCAATTTCAATTCATGACACTGAGATAGGGCTGCCATTCCCCCAACAGGGGTGGGGGGTTGCTGCTTTTGGGCCCCCAGATCTGCCGGCCCCAATCTGCCCGTTGGGGGAAGCCCCACCCCCAAAGCACCCTGTCCCCACCAATGTGTCCAGCACAGTGATGTCACCTACAGGTAATGTCATCGCATAGGGCACGTTGTGTGTGGGGGGGGTGCTGTATCACTCAAGAAAAAAACTCTATGTTTACCATAGTTTTTCCTTGAATAATAGAGGATCCCCCGCAACATGCCCTGCATGATGATGTCACGTCTGAGTGATGTCATCGTGGCATGTGCGCAAAGCCCCAGAGAAGGACCAGGACCCCCCTGCTGGCAGCCAGGTAAGACCTGGAAACACTACACTGAGATGGGGAAGTTACTCCTTGCCCATTCCAGCTGCTGTCAGGCCTAGCAGGGTAACCTATCTGGACTAATACCAGCTAGAGGGGGGATCTGTTTAGGAAATGGCAGGGAGGGTGACTCGTACCACCACACTGCATCCCCAATCCAAATCTCCTTTAGTCAAGCTGCTTTTAAATACATTATTTTGGATATCCAATCACAGCTGTTTTGTATAGCATCTAGATTCTGATTATGAAGATAATACTAATTATAAGCAGGGAACCTACAATGACTTCTGACTGTTCCTTCGTTTCTCTCTGTATTCCTTTCCCCACACTATTTCCTCTTTCTCCTCTCCTGGCAATCCCCCTATTATCTTCCCTTTTCCTCCTTCCTTCTCTCTTCCCCATTTACCAACCACCCTTTTATTTGATCTGCCCCCCCCCGACTCTTCAGCATTACTTATAGTTTATTTACTTCATTTATAACCCCCACCTTACTCCCCAAAGGGAACCTCGAGAAGCTTACATCATTCTATTCTCCTCCACTGTACTCTATAGAGTACGCTGAACAAGAATGACTGAGCCAAGGTCACCTAGCAAGCTTCCATGGCAGAGTGGGGATTTGAACCTGGGTCTCCCAGAAGCTCATCTGACATTCTAATTAGTATACCACACTGTTTTTCAGTTTTACATCCTTCCCTCCCCCTGACAGCCTCTCCCTGGGAAAAGTCTGGGCAAGCTGCAAAAGTAGTGTGGTAGCAAGTCACTCAGATGAGTTGTGTGGTAGCACTGTCATGCCTGACAAAGTCATGCAAGTTGTGTGCAGGCTGCTGCTGGGGCAAGGTGAGGTCTGTAGCATTGAGTCATAGCCACTGCCACACCTGGGCGAGCTACACAAATTGCATGTAGCAAGTTACCCAGTAGTTGCTGCTGGGCATGACCCCAATGAGTCCTCCCTCCAAGATAGGAGGGACGGGAACAGGGTTGGTCTTAGGGCTGCCAAATCCCCCTGGGGGGCGGATTTTCCCCCGCTTTGGAGGTCCGATTTCCACCCCCGTGAAATCGGGCCCCAGGGGAACCCCCACCCCCACATGCACGTCACAGAGAAGTGATGTCATGATGCGGGGCACGCTGGGGGCGGGGCACAGCCATTTGAGGGGAAAACATAGAGTTTTCCCCTCAAATGGCTGTGCCCCGCGTCATGACGTCACTTCCCTGTGATGTGCACGTGGTGCGCGCGCGCTTTGCGCGTGCGCACACACACCAGGAGACAGCACAAAGTCCCCCGCCGGCAGAGGGGAGTTCATTTGGCAACCCTAGTTGGTCTGGGAGGCCAAAATATACCTGGAAAGGGCCCTCACTCCTGACTTTTACTGACAGAAACCAAGGTTTGAAGGTTGGCATTTTTCTTGTGGCTACCTAGCAGCCCCAACATTGTCACCAAGATTTCCTTTCTTAAAGGTACAGGCACTGCTTCTATTATTTCGGTAGTATTTTAACCCTGCAAATATATAGTTTTAAAGACTTCAGATTTTTCTCAAACTTGGGCTTTCATCGGGATCATAGAAAGACCTTGTCTTGCTTGTTTGTGGCTAAAGTGTCTGGATTTACATATCCACAGATGGGGATGAGATATATTGATAATAATATGCTGTTGTATCATAGCTAAGTTCTATTGCACCCAGCACTATGTCTTTTCAATAACAGCTTCAAGAGGACCATGATGGTAAACCATCCTTGGTTTTGTTGCCCCCCACACACACCTTGTTCCCAGCATTTGATTGTCAAAGTATATGCCTATAAACCTACAGGCCTGTTTCATGTTTACGAAGTTCTTATTTTTTTTGTACACAAACCACAGTCCCATTTATTTCATTTTTACCCCACCTCCTTTCTTTTATATTTGAAGTGTTCATAATGTCTTCCCTAAATGTCTCTCTTCCAGGCACTAAACAAATCCCAGCCTGTTTAGCTTCAGTAATCTCGCAACATTAGGATCTTTCCAAGGGTTCTGAAATGTATATCTTCTTAATCAATGACAACTTCACATGAAATTAGGGGTCTAAAGCTAGAAGGAGGAGGAAGATTTATTCCCCACCCTTCACTCGTTGTCTCAGAGTGGTTTATAATCTCCTTTCCTTCCTCTCCCCACAACAGACACCCTGTGAGGTAGGTGGGGCTGAGAGAGTTCTGAGAGAACTGTTCTTGAGAGAACAGCTCTGAGAGAACTGTGACTGACCCAAGGATATATATCCTTATATCCTATAATTACTTGCAAAATATCCTCCAGTTCCCATTATGGAGAAACCACTTAGCCAAAAGACAAGACCTTCTATCCTACTCTATCTGCACAATCCAGATCACAGTGTGTCACATGCAGCGAGCAGCTGCAATCATAGAGAAGCCCCAGCCAAGTTAATAGTATTAGAAGATGCAAACCAGTGAAGGGGGGGGCAACCACAATAGTAAACAGCAATACAAAAACCCGAATACCCAGATTCACTGGAAAATGTAGCATGTACGGTGTGCCAGATATGAACAAAATCCATTCTCTGAATCTACACTGTAATGTTTTGCACAATTGACTCAGCAGTAAATCCCACAAACCTCAAGGGGCCTAACTCTCAAGTAACGGTGCATTGAACTGTGCTCTTTGCCAAAATAATTGGTGTAACTCCACAATAATTACATCTTTTCTCTAGCTGTGACAGTTCTTCCACAGGGGGGGGGGAACCATTGATGCTCAAAGGATTTTTTAAAGTCCTTCAGAATCTCAGTGGATTCCAAATGCAAAACACTATGGTGATCTCCATAAATTAAACTATTTCTAAGCCCAGGTACTTCCTCTGCTCCTATAACTGTTCCTGGGAAACTGAAAAAAGTATACATCCTTTATGTTGGCAAGCTCAAGTAGATGATGCCATTGCCACTGTATTCTGGTATTCTAAACTATTAACTTGCAGTCCAAGTCTGGAAGCAGTATACCTCTGAATATCAAATGCTGGGAAAGGATATCAGGGCTGTTGCTTTCATGCACTCTATAGAAACGTTTCAGAATAATCTTAGTAGCACCTTTTGGAAACAGAAAGCTAGCATGTTGGTCTGACTCAGTACAGCTCTACCCACATTTTTAGGAATTCATCATAGCTATTTATAATAATTAATTCCTAATCATGATGGGGAAAACATACCATGTGAATCAGCTCAGTATAAAAACCATAGTCACAATATATTAGCTTGATCTAATGTTGAAATCCCTCTGATTTAATCTGGAAATGTTATCCATGCTCTATTCCCCCACTTCCATGTCCTTTGGCTGTGATGTGTTTAATTTGCAATATATCTGACACTTTGTACCCCACTTTTCTTACAAGCATCTCAGAACAGCTTGTATGGTTCTCCCTGGCTTGTTTGGTCTCCACAGCAACTCTGTGAATCAGGTTGAGAGAGGGTGACGGGCCAAAGGTCACCCAGCGCACATCATAGCAGAATGAGGATTTGGCCTGGGATCTCTGCGATACTAGTCGAGCACTTCAGTCACTACTCCACACTGGCTGTCAAAATATGTATCACATTTATACATAAATATTAACATCCTATTATTTAATATACTGCCAGTGCAGAGTTAGACTCTTTTAAAACTCATTGACTTCAACGAATCTAGAAGGGTGCAACTGTGCTTAGAACTGCACAGTCCATGAAGTAATTGTTTTCCTGAAATATGATTATGTAAATGCTGGCAGGGGAAAAAATAGATTATGATTTAGTATTTCAGTAGGTGGAAGGATATATGCTAGGGTTGCCAAACCTGTTTCTCCTTGCGGCGGGGGGCTCCCGGACGGCGTCCCGAGTGCGCACACGCTTTGCGCGCGCACTACATGCACGTCAGCCGGATGTGACGTGATGACGCCGGGCATGCTGGGGGCGGGGCCACAGCCATTTGAGGGGAAAACTCTATGTTTTCCCCTCAAATGGCTGTGCCCCCACTCCCAGCGTGCCCGGCGTCATCACGTCACATCCGGCTGACGTGCACGCCAGGGTGGGGTTTTCCCCGGGGTCTGATTCCGTGGCGGCGGAAATCAGGCCTCCAAAGTGGGGGGTAATCCGCCCCCCCAGGGGGATTTGGCAGCCCTAATATATGCTCACCGAGCTCAACTTTCTCAGTTTCCCCCTTGCACAGTAGCCTAAATGCCCACCAAATCCTGTTCCTGAGAGTCTCCCAGGAACAAGATGGGTAAGTGAGAAAATTGTACTTCACCTTCCACCTGTAGAAGCACTCTGCAAGATTTTATATTTTGTCTCGTTCCTATAATTAATCTAAATGTAAAGCACCACAGTTGATTTAACTTGGTTAAAGAAATTACTCCCTCACTCAGTTGTGACATTTCAGATTTTAGAAGGGTATTTTCAGTATGATTGGTCATCATTTCTTCTAATATAGATATAGATGTGTTAACGCATATCAGTCACAGGTTTTTTTTAAAAAAGCAAAAGGATTTCTTGCTTCAGTGTGCATACCCAGTGCATAATCCCATTTAACTGATTACTCCATTTGAGTCACATAAGTAGCCAGTTATCGAGGTGAGGAATGATCATCTGTGGCCTGAAACGCACAGCATGATTCTAAACATGGAGTCCCTCACAATCTCATACTATTAGAGGTAGTTTTGATTTCCATGTTTATAGATAGGAAATAATTTGGGACTTTCAGGTCTGAATCCAACAGTCTATCCACTAGACCATCCAGCATTTTTTTTTCTATTCAATAATAATATATTACAATTCTGTTATGAGATACCTGAGTGTGATCCCGAGAGAGAAGATAATAAAGACGACTGTTGAGTTGGGCCGTCATATACCTCAACCACGTCGTGAAGTGATGTCTGGAAAAATACAAACTGGCCAAATACCACTAAACACAACAGTGAGAAAAAAAGAAAAGAAAAAGGTAGGGGGAAAATGAAAGAACAAAATATCTAATTTCTCATTTCATGATAATGTACATAATATATTTATAATTAAACTCATTTGTGTGCTACCATTTTTATATGATAACCCATAAGAAAGGCATTAACTGAAATGGGGGGGGGTGGAAGTAAGACAGTTAGATTGCAGAAATACACTTGTGGCTTCATGACTTTATGCCCATTGTGAACATACAGTAATGCTAAACAACGTAAATCTTTCCTCAGAAAAACGCTGGGTTGGATCCAGACTATATTTTTCATCAACAAGAACAGAACTTTCCAGCCCCTCCCTTCCCAACAGTGCAGCCCACGGATTTTCACAAAATGCTGTCCTGGGACCATAGGGGGCCCAGAGAAACAACATGGGGGATATCTGCAGTGAGACATGGAAATCAGAGGAAACTGCAAAATTAGACTATATCCAACTATCTTATTTTATTTCTGTAAATAGTTGGATAAAAAAGTATTAGTTTTTACCCTACCACTCTGCTCAGCACAATCTGAAATCGCCCTACACCCTGAAGAACCTTCCTCCAATGGGCCGCTGCCCCTAAAAGAAGTCTTCAGACTCTGCTGAGTTGAAGTAAAATAATTTAATTATTACTCTTTGACATACTAGAAGTTTAATCAGCTTCAGTATAATTAATGGGTTCACCCAGGTTGCCTTTGGATTCTGAATCAATCCAAAACCATCTTTTTTTTAACCTTAGACCAAATTAGGGATGATCAGGCCTACAGCATGGCTAGATGAGGCACGCCCGTCTCTGCACCTTTTCAAATACCGAAACAACCAGGGGGGTGACCCTGACAGTATTTTTAAATTGTCTCCTTAGGTTTTAAAATGGCATCATCCACCATGTGAGTCACTGGAATGACACAATGTCCAGTTTGGCCCTTGGAAATGCATAACAGGAACATGAGAGATCAAACAGGAAAAACAAAAATTATGTTAGGTAACAGTATCTGTTTTTGCAAGAACAACATTTTATCAGAATTTGGAGTTTTCTGATTAAAATAGAACTTTAATAGCACTTATTTCTCCAGATGGAAGAAATGTCAACTCTGTGAAATCAAGGTACAAATGTGCATGGGGTGCGTGTGTGAAGTGAAACTGTGGAATAAGGAATGAATGAGGGTTAGAGTTAAAATTGTTTCACAAACTGGAATAATCTTAATGAGAAAAGAGCTAGTCAAAGAGAAACAACCATACATGTGCTTCTCCTCAGGAAAAGTGGGGGGGGGGAGAAGCAGGCCAGGAGCAAAAAGTTGTTTCATCTTTGAAACCTTTACCTCAGAGGTTATTAGGAAATTGTGGATGTAGAACACTTGGTGGCCTTTTATGAGACCCCAACTAGACTCTATGGATGTCTGGTTTTGGTATAATTGCAAGATTTACAAAATAATTACCTAGAAGCTTTCAATGAGATTTATTTATTTATTTAATTCCATTTATATCCCGCCCTCCCCACCAAGGCAGGCCCAGGGCGGCTTACATTAAAAGTTAAAATACATTAAAACACAAATTGTAATCATAAAAGTCATATACAGTAACAAATAAAGTTCTAGTGGCGGTGTGATCACAACAAAGTAACACACTGCAGTTTTAAATACATGCACTGTTTCTCCAGATAGTGTTACTTTCCCTGTGGTCTTATTCCAATATCACGGTGAGCATTTTTTGCTGGAAAGTCAACACTATAATTTCATTGATTCCTAAATAGGTACATAAACTATTCTAAGGAGTTCTCCAGAGTCCTTCCAAATAGAAAAGATGTATGTGATAATGGCAAAACACGACAGTCCCTAGTTCACATGGTCATTTGTGAGGGAGAAGTCAAACAAAGTAGCATTTTGTGATTCTTCTTCTCCTTCAATTTTTGTTTGGTAGAAAATCAGCATAAGCTCCTAATCTTCCACAAAGATTAAACATTTCACCAGTAGATATCTTGCTTCTTTTCATCTTACTGTTCACATCTATCATCTACATCTCCTTGCCCAGAATATTATTCCTCTTGAGTGAAACAAAACCAACCAAACAAAAAAACTGCTGGATTCCCCTCACCCCATAAAGTAAATCATTGGTTCCTATGACATATCTATTATCAATTTTTCCCCCTGTTAAAAAGCAATGGAGGTGCTGGCCTCCAAAATAAGACAAAATCCAAATATTGAAGGACCAAAAGCCAATAGAAAAGAATTTAAACTTAGAAGCTATGCAGATGTTGTTGTCTTAACAATCAAGGACCCCCATGTTTTGCTGCCATATGTAACAACAAATTGAGAAGTTTGGGTCCTTCTCAGGATACCGAATTAATAGGAAAAAAATCCTGAAATAATCACAAAATTTCTAACACAACAGGAAGAGGATTCCATTAAGAGAACTACAGGATGTGAAACAACATCAAAGACAATTAAGTATTTGGGAATACATTTGTGTGGATAAAATGATACACTGGTTAATGATAACTACTAAACTATATGGATAAAGATACAAGGAGACTTGGCAAAATGGTCCAAGCTAAAATTATCATGGCTGGGAAGAATCTCCACAATAAAAAAATGAATGTGCTGCCAAAATTGAATTTTTAATTCCAGATGCTACCAATTTCCATACAAGAAAAATGGACTGGCAGAAACAAATAAATGCATTTATTTGGAATGGTAAAAAAACCCCCAAGGATTGTCAGTTCCCAATATTAAGCTATACCATGAAGCAGCTAAACTGGTATGGATTGCAGAATGGATTAAAAATCCAAATGATAGACTAATGAAACTAGAAGCTGTGGGGCTAGAGAACAGACTGCATTACCCTTTTTGGATTGAAAAATCAGCTTTGAAAAATAAAGGACAAGACAAAAACCATACAATCCGAGATAGTTTACTCCAGACTTGGGAGTCCTTAAGAAAAAGAATCAGCCCCATGATATCCCCTATTATGTCACTGATGCATGCATATTACAATAAACATAACAGAAGAAACAGTGACTTCTTAACATACAAAGATATGATAAATGCCAAAGGTGAAATCAAAACCTGGCAAAAGATTCAAGAAGAAGGGAAGAAGATACAATGGTTAGTCTATCTCTAATCAATCTCCAGACTTAACAAAAATCTCCTTACAGAAAAAGAAGGAGTAAGAGACTTAACCGAGTTTCAAAAAATGTTATACAACACAAAGACCATTTGCTAGGATGACTTTACAAACTATTGCTCTAATATGATAAAGGGAAGAAAAGAAGAGACTGGATTTATACCCCACCCTTCACTTGGAGTCTCAAAGCAGTTTACAATCTCCTTCCCTTCCAGAACAAGTTAAAATATGCATGATAACATGGATGCAGAATGTTGATAAAGAGATATCCCTTTCAAACTGGGAATATTTATGAACGAAAGATATAAAACTTGCAGCTGGTCAGGCTTTAAGAGAAAATTGGTACAAGATGTTCTTCCAATAGTATTTTACTCCAATGGGTATACACAAAATGGGCAAGAACTACAAAGAAACCTCTTGGAAATGTAAGGAAGTAGAAGGCACATTTTACCATATGTGGTGGTCTTGCAAAAAACAACAACGAGGAAATACTGGATTTAAATACATGCAGAGATTCTTAAAATTCTTAAAATTCTTAAAATTACATCCCAACTGAATCCAGAAACAATGTTATTGGGAATGATTCCAGATAATGTTAAGAAAACAACACAAGAGTTATTTAGAGAAGACAGTTTGCATCTATTTGGAGAGATTGTCCAACAAAAAGAAGCCTGGGGTGACAAATTAGCTGAATATGCTGTAATGGCAAAATTAACAAACTTAGTAAACAAAAGACCAACTGAAGAATGTTAGCAGAAGTGGAAAGCATATTACTCATATTATGATCAAGGTTAATAACTGATGATAAGTCTGTACTGGTACAACTGGTACAAAAAGTTGGCATCTCCTGAAATAGCCACAGAGACAGGGAGAAATATAATCATTATTAATGTATAATGTTTCAACTTTGATAAGTGGTTGCAGTGGGAGATGGCACAGGAGTGTTTGTGAGCATCTAACTGAAGATCCAGGATATCAGCAAATCAGTTTGAAACCATTGGGCCAATCTGAGTGGTTGATCATTTTAATTGACTTTTTTGGGTTGCTCCTCCAATGACTAAGAATATCACCCTTTGGGTTTGGAATATCCCAATGGATATTAGAAAAACAGGATCACTAAAAGTAAGCTTTCAGACTCTGGAAATATATTGGGGAAAATAATATAGGACTTTGCAGGGAAATGTCAATGGGCTGGATTCTACAAGCTACTTGGTAGAAGAGGTAGGTGGGGTGATTTTGCCAAAACCCTCCCACCTCAATGCACCCTCACACTACCCCATTGACATTTTGTCCATTACTCTCTTGATCCTCTGCACCAGTTGTTTAGCTATCACTAGGGGCTTCAGGAGAAAGGGGGAAGGGAGGAATTCTCAAGATCCAGCTCATTTTTCCTAATGGTAGCTCTGAGTTGCACAATATTATTGTCACTTGAAAACAGATTGCAGTCTGAAGATATTTAGTACATTTTAATTAGAATTAGCATATGATTAAAGCATAGCACACTGCTTGGTTTCTAGAAGCTTTACATACTGCAGTCTGGTCAGTATTTGTACTGCACAAGTGAAATGACACTTTGATGGGCTGCAGTCAAATTAGTCCCCCCTACTAAAGACAAATCCAAACTGAACATTTTCCAGTCACATCTCAGTGAGTAGAGAGTTATACAAAACATGATCCTTTCATACATGCTTCTGTATTTACCTGAAAGGAAGACTACCCTGCATGCAAGACCCCCACACACACCAAGTTATACACAGTAACATTTATTGCTGGATATAACTGTAATTTGTGTGCAAATGTAAGAACACCCCATTTTTGATGCTTAAAAACTCCCACAAGTGAGTCTTGCATTGG